AAAAATCTGCGGGGAGCTATGCAAAAAACGCATCTTCACACGGGCAGCCCGTGCGTTGGCCAATTATTTTGAGAATGAACTTGTGTTTGTATATGTACTTCAAATGAGCTTCTGCTTGGGCATATGCTTCACACATGGATGCATCAAATGTTCAAACTGCAACGTTTTCCTCTTCCTTTTCGGTAATGGGGCAGACGAGAAGGCAAAAATTTTATGAAATTGCTTGCATTTCTTGTCCGCCTCTAAACGGCCATATCGTCTTTCACAAACGTCAACATCTCGTATTCGTACGCGACAAAATTGAGGATGTAAAGCAGTCGACAACAGTGATGCCTTGACTGAGATGTCAGGTGTCACTGCTGCCCTACAATGCAGCATTACCGTGCTTCTCCCAGCACATACAGCGAAAGATCACAAGCGATTTCAGTTCATGCACATATGTTAAACTGCAACGCTACGATCGTTCATGCTGTTAATGAACTGTTTTGCTTCAGTGTTTGGGCTTCAGCTATGTGTTTTCGAAACAAAGCGAATTAGAAAATGAAAATTCGGAATTTTATTAATCGTTCAAGGAATGACTTACAATCAGTCTTCGTAGCCAGTGTTTTCTGAACCTATGACTGTGAATGCCTATGCATAGTTATGGTAGGGTAGGCCATGATTTGGTGCATTTTATGAATTGCATTGATTCATACATCAACATGGTAACTGCTGAATTTACTAATGCGCTTCATTTTTGGGCGTCCACAGCAGCCCACTATCAGAATGATTATCTGCTTTAGTCTTTCTGCACTGATATTTTTCAAATTTATGTAAAAATGAATACAGCTGAGTTCATTAACGCAGACTTCTTTTGAGTGGTTTGGTTTGCCTTTTCTTGGATAGTTCAGCCCTTACGTGGGCACAAATAACAATTCGTTCCTAAAAAATGCGCCAGCTCTCCGATAAGTGCAGCAGTTATAAAATTCAAGCTAGCTTATTAGAAGCTTCGTATATTCAAAATGATTTGAAAACTGCATGAATTAACTCCTCATATGCCTCAACCAAAGCAAAGAAGTAATAAGGTAAACGACCGTGGTGCACACGAAATGCATTGTACTGATGCTAGCACATTAACTAACTTAAACTGATTACATTCAGCTGGATAGATGTGCAGGAACACTGTGTTATTTGGAAGCTTCCTGTTGCTGCGATCCTCAACAGCAATATTCTTCAGCTGCTGCCCTTCGTCAGGATTTCTGTGTACGTGCACTGTCCATCGTTTGACTTTCACTGGCTCATTTTCTTTTTTATTCTTTAGGGAAGTGATAATCACGATTCTCAAGCCTGATCTTAGTCAGTAGCCTTGAACGTTTGTCGAGTGTAATCTTGACCTGACAAAAATTATTCAGAAAGATTAGATCGTGTCTTGTCCTGCTGGCAAAAGCTATGAACGCTTATTGGTTTGTTCTCCAGCTGTGCTTTCATGGCCATCGAGGGGTTAAATTTATTGGGCTTGTTTTGCGCAATTTTTGATCGAGACATTGACAGTTTTAGCAGATTTCTACGATTCAATCGTTTTCAATCAACTGTTGCTTCCCTTCTCCTCGCTAATTTCTCAGATTGTTTGACGCTTGTTTGTCATGTAAAGTACCATCTTTTAAGATCAGGAATAACATATATTACTGCTTACAACAAATAGTGGTAGCTTCCTGTACTGAAGTTAAGACAACAAAAAAATAGTTTTGGGGCGAGCATTCTCCAGAGCTGCTTTGATAAGAATTTATACCCATTAAAACAAGTGGCTGAACCACTTATAACTTTAACTGTGTTCACCGGTTCTATGCACTAAAAATCCGATTTCCAGCTCTGTTTTGCATGTCGTGCAGCTCGCCGACTTCTGATCAGCAATCGCCAGTAGTTTACGCTGCTCCACCTCCTCCGCCGATTTCACCACCGTACCAGGTTACTAGTTTCAGCATTCAGCCTCGTATCAATAAATCCAGAACTGGGTTAATTTCACACATCCGGTAGTCTATTTGTTTCGCTTATCCGTCGTATGTCACAGTTGCTCCGGTATTTTATGTGCTGCAGTTTCTTGTTATTTTGTAAATATCATTGTAACATTTTTGTTGCACTTTTCTGAAATTTTCTACTGTAAATCTAGAAAGTCATTCGTCGTTCGTTTCCGTTATTGTACTCTCACATTCAGTCATGTGCTGAAAATTTCAAGTAATGCCTCAGAGCATTCTTTAAATGTGAGAAGGATGTTACTGAAAATGGATTTATTTCTTTAAATGAAAGTAATATGCAATGAAAATTAAAAAAGTGATGCGCAGCATATAGAACTGCATAAACCCTTTAAAACAACGCAGCTAAACGATTTATTTTTTTCTTCCAAATAAGCCATTACTGGCTAAAAGGCATTTGTTAAAACGCATTTGCATTTGTTAAATACTGGTTTAAATCATGCATAAATTCCGGCTCTAAAATTTCTAATTTTATTGTGCTGCAACAAAAGAGAAACTGTTTGAAATGCTTATTTCAGATCAGCCCAGCAGTAGAACCAGTTCCGTCATTTTACGGACCTAGTCAACAGCAGCCTTTTAAGGCGATGCAGGATAGCTATGCGCCTCAGTTGCTTCATCAAACAGCTTTTCAATCTTATACATCGCAGCCACAAACAGAACCTTCGTCACCGCACCAAACAAACCAGCAGGTACGGCAGTGCACCTCATAACTGGGGAATAAACGAACTATCAGTGCTCTTTCCACTAACGTTATTTGAAGCTCTACTTTGGTCCATTGCAGCTACGAAATACTGCCAGCTTAAGGAAAGCTAAGTAAGGACCAATAAGCCGGGCTTTCTCTGAACGCAAGCATTATTGAAAAGATGGACACGACTCATCTCAGTAGTGCTAACTGTGTCAAAAGCGAAGCAAAAATGGCCCAGCTACTCGCGAAGATATTCCGGCCATCTTTCTAATTCAACCTGTGAAGTACCAATCGTAATGCAGCCTGTGAAGTACCAATCGCGTAAGGCCCATGTCTAGGGAGCATGAGCTGCTCTCTAGATATGGGCCTTACGCGCAGGCGCATAAAACGTTCAAACTGCAACACCGCAGTCACATCTCAATAGTAAGATGACCCCTCTCCCAGGTCCCCCACCGATAAACTTGGTATGCCGCTTACCGGGTTGTTTTCCAAGTTTTTTAGCTCTGAAGCTACCTGAGATGCAAAACGCAAGCGGCAATGGTGCTACAATGACATATATAGGTAAAGTTCATTTATGCAAAAACATATAAAAATAGGAATTTTCCTGGGCAGTAGAGTTATCTCATTGAAATCGTTATATAAATTTTGAAATTTTGCAGCTGCAGCATCAAATAGCTGTGTGGCCATCAAAACAACAAACAGAATTGGAAAGGGGAGCAGCTGGTGATCGGTTACAGCGGATGGAAGTTGAAACAGCGAGTATGGTGCCACTTCGAAAAACATCCATTCAGGTATGTTGAATTTTAGAGAGTTACGCACTCAGCAAGGGCTGGCTGGATCATTAAATAGCAGAGCAGCTTCAGTCAGGAGGTCCAGGCACGCATTCCAACGTTTCAAAGCATATCTTTTGTTCCAAATGGCCACTTAAAAAACATAGACGACACAGCGCTCAAACGAATCGTTAATTACTGTAAAAATCGTCGTGTTGCGAAGAACCATTCCATGAGGCTGCTATGCTCTAACTACATTTTAATTAGGATAATTCCTGTCTTAAAAATAAATAATGATACACAGTCAACGTGCACGATTTTTGTGATAGTTTATCTTGCGCACACTCTACATATTCTTGTGCGATAGTACGTAACTTTTGCAAGAACCGAACCAGAGCAAAAAAATACCGATTTAACATTTGTAGCCTAATTCGTATGGGGCTTTAGCATAACGTAAGAAAAATGGGCCTCGAAACTTGGCTTTCGATAACTTACTCAATCACGACGCATGCATTAACCCAGAATTTAAAAGTCTCAAACTTTTTGTGTTCTGTAACAACAAAAAATAAATAGCAGCGAGCACCAGAACAGCCGGTGCGATCATGCGTTTTGCGCAATTCCGCCCATCGAATGATTGCCTGCTAATGATTTTCACTGCTTTGCACTTTGGTCTGTGCAAAAATAGTTGAAACGTTGTCTAATTCTTAAGTTGCGGAAATTCCCACTAAAAAATCCACACACCGGTAAGTAAAAGCTGACTTTGAAATCTCGAAGGGTAAATATCCTTCTACAATTTCAACCTCCTAATTTTCTGGCTTTCGATGAGACAGAACTTTCACATGGTCGTACGTGAGACCATGGTATACCTGGGAACTGAACTTGAGTTTGTGAAACCACTGCTTAGGCAGGAAACATTCTTCTGAAATTTCCAGCCTCCTAGCACTTCTGACTCCCGAGATAATGATTTTTCTCGTCAAAACTTTCACGATGACATTGAAAATTCGCGCAGTTTCACGTGGACAGAGGATTCCACGCTGAAATTTCAGTTTGAAATTTCAGCTTCCTAGGTTCCGTAGTTTCCAAGATAATAATTTAGCAGCCAAAATTTTCACAGGGCCGCAGATGATACCCGAGAGCGCAGGAACTTTGAATTTAAATTTGTAAGGTCATGCGTGGGCAGGGGATCATCACCCTAAAATTTTAGCTACATAGATTTAGCGGTTCCCGAGATAATTTACCCGCAAAAATTTTCGCGGAACCGTAGGTATTACCCGAGAGCGCGGTGATGCTGAATTTAAAATTTCTGGTCACATGTGGGCAAGGGACATGCCCAAAAAATTTCAGCCTTCTAGCTTTCGTGGTTCCCGTGGTGATAATTTCACCCGACAAAACTTTTACGGGGCCGTAAAAGTGTTATCCGCGGGTACGAGGAGGCTGAATTTGAAATTGCGGGGTTACACGTGGGTGGAGAACATTCCCTTAAATTTTCAGCTTCTTAACTTTTGTGGTTCCAGAGTTGGAAGTTGTGAACAAGCTGCCGCGGACACACACACACACACACACACACA